TGCAGGTCTGGTCCTGGGGGGCCAGGGGCTCACAGCTCCACACACAGGCTCCTCCTGCCCCTCCACACCCAGCAGCCTGCAGAGCTGAGCCCAGACTGGAATGGAAGGCTCAGGCCATGCAAACTCCCAGTGGGAGAGTGGATACAGGAGGGAGAAGAGGGTCCTGAGGACAAAGAGGGAAGGAGGGAGCCGAAACCAGTTTGGCTCAGTGGTAGAGCATCTGTCTGAGGACTGAAGGGTCCCAGGTTCGATTCTGGTCAAAGGCATATACATCGGTTGCGGGCACATCCCCGGTGGGAGGTGTGCAAGAGGCAGCTGGTCGATGTTTCTCTCTCATCGACATTTCTAGCTCTCTATCTCTCTCCCTTCCTCTCTGTAAGAAATCAATAAAATATATTTTAAAAAAAAAAAAAAAGAGGGAAGAAGGGAGAAACTGGGAAGAGACTGCCGTAATGAAAGGCACTGGAAATAATACCGAGAAGACCAGATGGGGGTGGCGTCCTGGACCCAGAGGTCTGGGGGCACAGGTAAATGCGGCGTGGCCCTTAGTGCATGAGGCTTTAGCATCGCAAAGCAGTCTACCGAGTGTCCAGTTAGGTGATAAAAATGCAAATGACAATGCAATCTGTGAGCATCTCAAAAGTCCCCTGACGCCCACATTCCCAGAGGGACATGGTCACACCCACCCTGTGGTTTACACACTGACTGACCGAGCTGGGAAATCAGGGCGGCCCAGGAGGCCAGCCAGCCCACCGCAGCCCCCTTCCCTTGTCCCACTCAGCGTGGCTTGTAGGGCAGCCTGCTTCCTCCTCTCAGCCGCCACAGGAAGCTCATGTTCATTGAGCCTCTGACACTCTCCACAGTGCTGGGGGCAGGGTCGATAGAATGAACTCAAAGGGCCTGCTTTTCCAGGAACATCTCTCCGGTGGGGTTCGGGGCTCGCTTTGAGTCATGGCACCAACGGAACCAGCCACAGCGGCTTGCTGCTTCCCACAGTCCTCCTCCATCACCCCGTGAAGACAAGCCTGGGAGGGGTGCAGCCGGGCCAGTGCACGGGCCATGGCACGAGGGTGTATTTCTGGCAAGGCAGCTATAGTTTAGGCAGAGCCAGTGCTGGGGCTTACCCATGCCATGAGGGGGGTTTGGGGTGTCACCTCTCCTTGTTCTCCACAGCTTTGAGGTTACACCCGGGCTTCAATTTTTTTTTTTTTAATTTTTTTTAGAGTGGAAGGGAAGAGGACACACAGAAACATCGATGTGAGTGAAAACCCATCCATTAGTTGCTTCCCGCAAACTCCCTGATGACTGAGGCCAGGAACTGAGCCTGCAACTGAGGTACATGCCCTTGAATCAAACCCGAGACCCTTCAGTCCAAGAGCCAAAGATCTAACCACTGAGCAAAGCCGTCCAGATCCTTATCTTCGGTTCTGAGTGATTGTGAAGCCTCGGGAAAGGCACTTGACCTTCCTAAGCCTCAGCTTCCTCATGTGAAAATGAGTAGATGGTAGGTCTTGTGAGCATTAAATGATATGCATGTGAAGTGCTCAGGGCTGCTCTGGACTCTGGGACCCACCAGCCCTGGCGAGGTGCCCTTCTGCTGGACACAGGCACCGTCCAGCGCATCAGCCTGAGTCAGTGATTGAACTGAGCGCCTAGATGCACAGACAGCAAGACGGATGAGTGGATACAAGTTCATTTATTGCACACACACACACACACACACACACACACACACACACTGCATTCGTTATCTCCTGCTGCCCTAAGATTTTCCACCGCATACCGGCTTCAGACAAGGCCCATCTATTCCTGCAGTTCTGGAGGTCGGGGTGGGCTCAGGATGGCTCACCTGTCGATGGGCCTCAGCTGAATCATGGCACCTGTCAGCAGGGCTGCCCAGCTTCTGGAGGCTGAGAGCAAGCCTACAGCCAAGCTCTCAGCTGAATTCCGTTCCAGTGGTTCCTTGTAGGATCACGGCCCGTTTCCGGCTGGCTCTCAGCCAGGGCTGGGCTTTGCTCCTAGAGGCTGTCCATGCCCCTTCTCGTGTTTTCCACGTGGCCCCTCCACCAACAGCAGCTCACGTCCCTCACACTCTGCATCTCAGCTGGAGAAAATGCTGTTTTTCAAGAGCTCATGTAATTAGACTGGCACGTACACATAATCCGGGATATTCTCCCTATGTAAAAGTCTGTAACCCTAATATCATCTAAGTCCCTTTGACCACATCATGTAATATCACCCTTTTGTATATGTGTGTGTGTGTGTTAATATATTTTTATTGATTTCAGAGAGGAAGGGAGAGGGTGAGACAGAAACATCAATGATGGAGAATCATCAATTGGCTGCCTCCTGCAGGCTCCACACTAGGGATAGAGCCCCCACCCCGGGCATGTGTCCTGACAGGAAATTAAACTGTGACCTCCTGCCGAAACCGGTTTGGCTCAGTGGTAGAGCGTCGGTCTGCGGACTGAAAGGTCCCAGGTTCGATTCTGGTCAAGGGCATGTACCTTGGTTGCGGGCACATCCCCAGTAGGGGGTGTGCAAGAGGCAGCTGGTCGATGTTTCTCTCTCATTGACGTTTCGAGCTCTCTGTCTCTCTCCCTTCCTCTCTGTAAAAATCAATAAAATATATTTAATAAATAAATAAATAAATAAATAAACAAACTGTGACCTCCTGGTTCATGGGTTGATGTTCAACCACTGAGTGACACCGGCGGGGCAAGAACTTTTTTAGCAAGCCATAAAATTATGGAGAAACCTTAGATGCATATTACTAAGAGAAAGAAGCCAACTATAAAACATGCTGGAGAAGTAAAGCCAGGGAGACAGTGGTGGCGAGGGGTTGTGGGTAGGAGAGATGAAATGGTGGAGCACAGAGAATTTTTTTAAAATATATTTTTATTGACTTCAGAAAGGAAGGAAGAGGGAGCGATAGAAACATCATGATGAGAAGCATCGATCGGCTGCCTCCTGCACCACCCTCACTGGGGATCGTGCCCTTGATCGGGAATTGAAGGTGACCTGCTGGTTCATAGGTCGACACTCAACTTCTGAGCCACCAAAGAATTTTTAAGGTATTAAAATTACTCTGTATGACCCATAATTAGATACATACATGTCCCTTTATCTATAGGTAGGGTACACCTATGACAACTCTTGCATGCTACTAAAATAAACTTAAAAACAGAGAGATTATGGGCATGCTTAGGACTTGAAAGGAGATAAAGAACTTGAAGCCCAGGCTGTTGAAGTAGAACTGCAATCTGCACTCTTACAGGGGTGTCTGACCCTAAAGAAACCATGCTTGCTCTGCATACCCGTGGGCTGCCTTCGCATTTATCCATTCTCTGCTTACCCCTTAAATTCTCTTTCTCCCCCATTAGAAAATTCTCTGTAAGGTGTTTTGAAGCTTGGTGCACATATGAATTGTTATGCTATGTCTCCCAGGGCATTACCATGGTAAATATTACTGTAGATGTAGGGATTTTACTCCTTTATGCAAACATCTCAAGTATAAGCCTGCAGATGGGTAAGGATTTGAGGCACAAGTAGGAAAAGACCCCAATCTCTGCAGTGTGTCTGTTCAAACCTGGAGACTGACCTTAGGACATCTGGACTTTTTTTCCTGCAATAGTATCAGTACCCACAGATGAGAACTTTCATAAATATTGATAACATTATTTCAATTTATTTGTAAGAAGTTCGACATTTAACATTGAAATTCAATTTTTAGCATTTTAATAAATGATGTAACATGTAAAAAAAATAATAAACTTAAAAACAATCCACACTTGGCATTCTTAATGGTATTTAGTCACTGAAATCTTTTAATGGTATTTAGTCATTGAAATCTAAATACATCAAATAATTTTTTATTAAAGATATGCAAAGAACAACTGTGATTTCTTTCAAATTTTTAAGGTATAAAGGAAGGCAGCTCTCTTTGCTCAAAAATGATACTTTTGTTTTTTAATTTTAATTTAATAGTAGCTAATTAAGGAAAGACTACAGTCTAAACTAAAAGTAATTATCTTGCCTATCATCACTTGAAAAGGCATCTTCAACACACATTAAAGCGTTTGCATATGGGAGAGTCTGTGCGGGGGGGGGGGTGTGGGGGGGGTGGGGGGGGTGGACTGGCATATCTGCAGGTGAGGAACCGGGACTGCCCACGCTCCCCTGCTCGCCTTCCAGCAAAGCTGCAACGCCCTGCCCGCAGTTCTGCGCGCTTTCTCCTACAGGCGCTGGAAACAGGTCTGCTGGCAGCGTCCACGGCGGGCCGCTCTGGTCCAGGTCAGAACCCGCATCCCACCTGCTACAGGCAGCGGTCCCTCCCGGCGCGCATCCCGCAGGCGGCGGCGAACCACCGCCCAAAGACAAGGGACGCGGACCGGGAGGAGCGGCTCACGTGCGGCGCTCCAGGTGCGGCCCGCACCCCCGACGCCCCGCCCACTCCCTCGGAGCGCGCTCTCATTGGCCGAGACGCTGGGTGGGGCGGGGCCTCCCAGAGCGGTGCCGTCACCCCGAGGGAGGCGTGCGGCGGGAGACTGCCCCGCGCCTGGTCTTCAAGGACCCGCCGGACCCGGGCTCACAGCCCATTGGCCGTGGCTTCCCATGGCCGCCCAGTAGCGCCCCCTTCCGAACCCTAGACGCCGCACGAGGAGTCTCGCGCAGGCGCAGTCGGCGCGGCCCGGCAGCCCCCGGCAGCCCCCGCGGCCTCCAGCCCCGCCCACCCGGCGCCGGGGAGCCCCCGGCGGCCCCGCCCCCGCCCGCCCGCGGAGGAGGCGGGTGGGGATGACGTCATTGACCCGGGCGACGGGCATTGGGCGCCATTTTGAAAAGGGGAAAAAATCCCTCCCCGGCGGAGGCGGCGGCGGCGGCGGCGGCGGCGGTGGCGGCCCGGCTGAGGTGCTGGGGCGGCAGCTGCGTGGCGGCCGCCTCCTTCGTCCGCCGCCGCCTCGGCGCTCGCCCGCCCGCGCGCGCCCGCCGGCCGGACGGCCATGGCAGGTGAGGCCGGCGCGGGCGGGGGCGCGGGGCGGGCGGCGTGGCGGGGGGCGCGGGCGGGGCCGCGCGGCCTGACGCGCCCGGTGTGTCCGCAGGAGCCGGAGGCGGCGGCTGCCCCGCTGGCGGCAACGACTTGCAGTGGTGTTTCTCGCAGGTCAAGGGGGCCATCGACGAGGACGTGGCGGAAGGTAAGGCCGCCCCGCACCGGCCCTGGGGACCCGGGGTCGAGGCCCCCCTCCCGGGAGCGTGCGCGCCCCGGTCCGCCCGCAGCCCGCAGCCGGCGGGAGCTGCAGGAGCCCAAGGTCACGGCGCCTGCCCGCCGCCCGGGCTGCCCCGCCGCGCGTCCGGCTCTGCCGCGGCCGCTGAGCCTGGCAGCGTCTGCAGGAGCCGGGGCTCGGCCGCCATCGGGGAGGCTGCAGAGGGGCGGCGGCCGGAGGGGAGGCCCAGGCGGCTGTCCGGCCCCGGTTCCTCCCTCTCTGAAGACCGGGAATCGGGGTGTCCGTTCCTTCTGTCTGGCGGTGCGTTGCCAGGTTCCCGGCGTGGAGTTGGCGGCTCTTTTCCTGAGCCGCAGCCCCGGGTGAGCCGGGGTGGGGCCCAGGGTTCGGGGCCGCTTGTCAGAGAAGCAGGAGTTCCCAGTCACTTTTTGCCGTGACACAGAAGACCGCTTTTTTGCCCCAAGAAGCGGACAGCCTCTGGCGGTGGCCGGGCGTCTGGTCACCGCTCCTCCTCCTCCTCCTCCTCCTCGGCCCGGGGACCTGTGGCCCCGGTGGTGATAGGTGCATCGAGTTTGAGATGGAAGCTGGGTGATTTTATATCATCTGAATAGTTTGGTTCTGTCTCTCTTCCGTTCGCTGAAGATGCATCACTTTTGTTCATTTTGCACGCGCCAAGCGGGTGACAGTTTAACTTATTCGAAATTCCTGTTTGTTTAAAGGTAGAGAGGTGGAAGGGCTTAATGACTATCTTAATTTCTGTGTTGTCTTTTTTTCCTTTTTAATGAAGTCATTGTTGACAAGCTGAATAAGCTAAAATTTAAATCTTAACAAAAGACGCATTTTAGTAGTCCTGTGATGTTATAGTTTGAAAATATGCTTGACAGAAATATCGCCTTCTTTGAATTGAACTGATTGGAAGTTTTTGAAGTAAAATTTGGAACACATCCAAAAGTTTGGTATTTCAGGTTATCTTTTTTGGTAATAAAAGCTTTGTACTGATTACCCACGTTGTTGGTTTGTTTGCTTTTTATTGTGGCGTGTATTTAGGCAGCCTGAGTAATCTATCAGGGTGAGCACGTTTATAACTCTTCATCATAGTTGTGATAGTTTCATTTGAATTGTTTTTTTACGATAGAAGTCAGTAATGAGGAAAATGTAATTGTTAGCAACTAGTGGTTGCTAAGCAATTAGAATAAAGACGGTCAAGAGGCTGGTTGTACCCAAACAGCCCTGAGGAAGAAATGTCGCCAAGTGCTAACTGCAGGTGGGTGGACCCTGATGGATTGGCCCCGGGACATCGGTAAATTTGTTTACATTTGTGGCTCGAAAGGCCTTTGTTCTTGAAAGTTTAGTTCTGGTCTGAGCTCTGCTGAAAGAAGTTCCACCTTTCCCCTGCGCGGGGCGCTAGCGTGCCTGAGATTGTTGTAATGGGAAGCTCTGGGTTTGACGTGTGCCTGCCATTTACCAGGTCTCAAGGCCCTTTCTGAACCTCACTTTGCTCATCTAGAAATTGTGTTGGAAGATTTTCATTAAGATCACACATTGTGCAGTGCTTTTCTAACCTGTAAATTGTTGCAAACGTTGGTTACAACTATTAATTCTCATGTTGTAGCTATATTTAAATATAAAAAAGAGCATTTCTTATTCTTTTTTTTTTTTAATATATTTTATTGATTTTACACAGAGAGGAACTGAGAGGGACAGAGAGTCAGAAACGTTGATGAGAGAGAAACACCGACCAGTTGCCTCTTGCACACCCCCCACTGGGGATGAGCCCGCAACCAACGTACATGCCCTTGACCGGAATCGAACCCGGGACCTTTTAGTCCGCAGGCCGACACTCTATCCACTGAGCCAAACCGGTCCCGGCGCATTTCTTATTCTTTTCCTGACCTCTTTCCTATCTCTCCACACACGCCAGATCCCTCCCATTGTACATGACCTCTGGTTTTTCCCATTATTTTTCAGTGATCCATCCCTTGAATTCTGCTCATATTCCTTTGCCAACGTGGAATATTCTTTTTGTCTTCTGTCTGTTCTAACCATCCTTCCAAATCCATCTCGGACTCCACTTTATGAATCACTGTCAGCCATTCTTAATTCAGTGTTCTGTTTTACACGCTGACCTTTCTTTCTCTCAGCCCGCCAGGTGCTCGGCAGTTGGCTGAATCCTGTTGGCGGGGCCTCAGTTTTCTCCCGTGGGTTAGGCTTGTCTCTTCAAGTTGATGTGAATCCGGCTGTGGAAAGGCATTTGGTCCAAATCCTATTTCCAGCCTCTTACTAGCTTCGTGCTCACTTGCCAGGTTACTTACCTTGTTTCCTCATCTGTAAAATGGGCTGCTCCTTGTACTGTTCCAGGATTGCTGGGAAGATCTGGGTAATGCGGGGCATCTCTGGCAAACAGGCAGCACAGTACCTGAGACTGTTAAAAGCTGGTGTCTTGCAGGGGAGAATAACGTACTGTTTCTCCAGGGATCCCTTTAAGAAAATGAAGGGTATGGGGGCTCGTTTCCAGCCGAGCTCATTTGAAAAGGTCAGAACAGTGTCCCAAAGGGCTGCTGGTGCTGGGTGTTGAGATAGAGAAGCCCAGGTCCTGACTCAGAAAGCCTTCTGCTTATGCACACTGACAAGCAGATGGTCATTGCATCATTCTGAGAGCAGGGCAATTCGAGAAAACATCAGAGACTTGCCCAGGAGAGAGACTGTATGGGGAGTGAAGGGGAGAAGTGAGGCTGTGTGTAGGAAGAGGGAGGAAGGAGAATGTTCCAGATGAAGGGAGCTTGGAGTGGTGATTGGAGAGAATGGTGCTTTCTGAGAAACCAGAATTCTTGGCAGAGACAGGTTGGCAGGGTCCAACGGGTGATGAATGAAAGCCTTGGATACCATGCCGAGGACTTAGAATTGTGCTTTAAGTGATTGTGATGGTAAGCAGAGGAGTGACACTGACTTCACATTTTTAGGAAGATCACCCTGGCCTTTGGAGAGGGGAGGTTCTGGGGTAAGAACAGGCAGGATACCAATTAGAAACTTACTGCAATAATAAAGGCTGGAAACGTGGGCACTTGAGAAGGTTGAATCTCGTTGCGGTCACAGAACCAGCTATTGTGGTCGGTCCCTTGGGAGACCATACCCACACCTTGGTGGTGGTTCAGTCAGCACTCAAGCAGGAGCTGCCGGGAAAGTGGTTTCCTCCCCCCCTCTGCCCCCCTCCTCAGTCCACTGGGGGTGTTTCTTCAGCACGGGGCTTTGTTCTCTGTACCCCATGGGCCTTACCCGGGGAGCTGATGTCAGGGTCTTGGTGTTGATAGTATCAGAAGTCTCAGTTTCTGACCAACAGCGTCTCACTAGGTAATGGCATCATCATTGCAGTAGTAATGACTTTATCCAGACGAGGGACTAGAACCGTACTGTGCATAATGTCCTCTGTACAGAAGCCAACAGAAGTTACTGCATAAAATTTACAATGTTTCTGTTAATAATATGTAACAATCCGTTTTGTTTTAAAAGTTAGTATTAGGCAGGCATTATATATTAGGCAACAGTCTCTTTGAACCAGTTTTTCTTTTCAAAATTAATTTCCTAAATTTCTACCCCACATGCTTACATAAGACAACACAGGCTAGATAAGATAAATCCTGGTGACCACGGACTAGGTATTCTATCAGTTGGGCAAAACCGTAAACTTCACGTGTGCTGCTGGCTCTGGTTCCAGAACCAAGAAGTGGCTGGTTGGTAATGACAAGTTTCTCATGAAAATTTGGCTTTATCTAGGGAGAAAGTTTAATACATATGTATCTGTCTTTTGACCTTTTTTATTGATTTTTTTATCTTCATTGTGATTTCTCTCACAGTTGTAATCTGGTAAACTGCCTTTGTATTTTATTGACAGCTGACATTATCTCAACTGTTGAATTTAATTACTCTGGAGATCTTCTTGCAACAGGAGACAAGGGCGGCAGAGTTGTTATTTTTCAGCGGGAACAAGAGGTCAGTACATTACAATCCACAAACCTGGTGAAATCAGTTAACCCTTCAGACATCCCTTTAATCGTGCAGAATCGTCTTCCCAAAATTATCTCTGCGAGTTGTGTTTCAGCTCATTGCCCTGCAACCATTGATCCCCGATCAAGTCCCCATGCCTTCCGTAATTCATTTGAGGGGCTGTCCGTGAAATCACTTCCCAAGCCCAGCCTATAGTCTGGCTGTGCAGGGTAGTACTTACTGCAGAGGGGGCCTGCTGCGGGGAGGGAGCGTTTGTTCTCTCTGCTCCTCACCCCCAGCGCAGCACTGTCAGTGCGGGAAGGGAAGGGATCCTCCGAACACAGACCTGGGAGGGCCCACAGGTGATTCTCACTCATGAGCACTGGTTGTGGGTCATGTCCCTTTCTGGGGAGCCACGGAGAAAAACAACCTTGTTTTCAGTTGTGCGAAAGAGGGAATGGGAGCCAGCCCAGCCCAGCCCTGCCCACCCCACCCCCTTAGTTCTGGGGGCTTAGCAGGGTCTCCGAGAGCACAGAAATGGGTCCGATGTAATGATCCCGAGCAGGTATTCTAGCCCCGCAGAGTGCCTGTCTTTTCCTGAAAGACCCGTGTCTAGGCTCCCTTCCTTCTTGTTTCCTGGCAGATCAGTGGGCAGTCACTTTTTCATCTCCAGATTCTAGCCTCTAAGTGAGTATAGAGACTGACCAGCCCTTGTTCTCTTCCATGGAGGTCTGTTCCATCGTACATGTCACCAGACAGGGGCACCACGGGGCATCAGCGGTGCGGCCTGGCTCCTGTGGACGTGGAGAGTACAAGGGCTGGGGTCCTCTTTGTTGTTTTACTGAGGAGGCTAATTGTGAGTGTCAGCTGTTGTACATTTTGGGGGGCCCGGATATTTTTTGTTTGACTTTTAAAAATGTGTGTGGTCATTTGATGTTCAAATTGGTAATGCTAACATTTCCCCATACACTGAGCTTGTTCATGAAAACTGCTTTCTGTTTCCTTGCAGAATAAAAGCCACCCTCACTCTAGGGGAGAATATAATGTTTACAGTACCTTTCAAAGTCACGAACCAGAGTTTGACTATTTGAAAAGTCTAGAAATTGAGGAAAAAATTAATAAAATTAGGTGGTTACCACAACAGAATGCTGCTCATTTTCTACTCTCTACAAATGGTAAGACCTGTTTTTAATGGTGGTTTGGTTAAGATTTCATTTCTATGTGTAGGTTCTTTATTTTAATCTACTATAGAAGTTATTTCTGCTTTAAACTTTGTGGGGAGGGTAATTATTAGCTAGGAAACAAGTGATAGGTTGAAAACTCAATAATGCACACACACACCCTCCCAGTACCACATGCTTAGAAAAGGCAAAGAAAACCCTCCACACGTGGACCAGCTCCAGTGGTGCCCCCCATTTTCAGCTCTGACACTGTTACGTATGTCAGAAACGAGTGTTCACCCATAATTGCAAATTCACACTTTTTTCTAGTATAATACCCAACTAATAGTGGTGCATGATAATATGGTTTTTCTTTTAATATGGTTTTTATTTTCAGATAAAACTATTAAATTATGGAAAATAAGTGAACGGGATAAAAGAGCAGAAGGTTACAATTTGAAAGATGAAGATGGACGACTTCGAGACCCATTTAGAATCACAGCACTGCGGGTATACCTTCCGTTTTCTTTATCACTACTTCTCATAGACTGATCAAGAATAATGCCTAAGTCCTCTATTATCTGCCTTCATGATTCAGAAAGTTATTTATAATAGAGTCATTTTGTGTGTGCATGTTAGAAATATTTTCACAAGAGCAAAAGTCACACATTAGCTTCAGAAAATACAGTGATACTGAAGAAAAGACTCCGATTTAATTCCACAGCAGGAGCTTTCTAAAAGTATCAACTGCCTTTCACCAAACAGGTTCAGAATAGCACAGAGAGGGTTATCAACCAAGAGGAACTCAGAACACCTCCCAAGGTGACAGCACAGGTTGCAGATTGAAAGAGGAGCTACAGGCCACCAAGATCCATTTATGGTGGTTTTAGTTGGATTTCCTCCGAGTTAACTAAGGCAGGTCTAATGCTTCAGAATCCTTGCCTGTCGGTCCATGAGCATCATTACTTTTTTAATTGTTGAATTCTCCACTCCCTTTTTGGTACACTGGGAATAGAATGAAATGGCCATATTTCATCAATTCAGTTACCTAGGTTTTTCAGATTTTTAACATCTATGAAGTTGAGTAAAACTTAAAATCTCAGTGTCTTGTCATTGGCTTGAGGGGAGAGGGGAAAGTGCATGCCATCGATAGTATCTTAAATGTGACAGAACGTTGCGAAGGAGGTAAAACACATGAGTCATGGCCGGGCATGCCTCGTATGACACCAGAGAAGTACCACTCTGGACAGGACGGCACAGGAAGATGACACCACGGTAGTAGAGGCCCCCACACAAAGTTAGCTGCCTGCCCCGTGTGTTTGTTCATCAGGTGAATGGTAGTGCACACATTCAGACTGCAGCAGAGGCTCTGCAGAGAGGGATACTGCTACAGGCCTCCCGCACATGCCCCACTGGTGACACTGGGCAGTGTGCTTGTCTGAATAATGCCTCTCCTCTGCTTTCCTGCACTGGGTGCAAGCAAGGTGCTAGGGTGGTGGGTGCACAGGATGGAGCCCAGCCCAGCAGCGAAGGCAGTGCCACAGCAGCGAAGGCAGTGCCACAGCAGTTAGGAAAACGGATGTGTTGCCGAGGAGACATGCAGGATGGGACAGTCATCATAAGACCTCAGGTCGGTAGTGTTGCCCTGTGTCCAGGGGTTTGAGCCCAGAGAAGCTGTGTAATGTGCTGAAATTGAGCTTACAGCACCCTGATTTGAACCAGGATGTGATCCAGGTGGCGATTTCTGACGCCCGTGCTTCTGCTTTTGCATCGTAATTCATGATGGTATAGATGCCCCTGTTTGTGACAGTGACACCATTGTGAGCTGCTCATTTCACTGTCAGTGTAATAGAGGGAGCAGGATGGGACCATGTGGAGTGTGCTTTCTCCTGCCCAACCTGTCCCCAGCAGTGCCGCCCACTGGGCAGATCACCCTCTCTCAGTATCCAAGTTCCTTCAGGCCATGCCTGCTTGCCACAGGTGACACCTACATGCCTGTTGTGGAAAAGCTATAGGTCTTATTAGGCTCAATTTGGTTTTATTCAAGGCTGCTTTTATTTGCGTGGCCTGAATAAAACTGGTGGATTTGGTGGCTGGTCAAGCATATGAGAAAAGCAGTTTCTGTATAAACTGCCCTTATTTACCGCAGGGTGAGGTAAAGGTCATAGGATGGCTAACTGCATTGACGTACCTGTGAGTTCAGGTCTGTGTTTGCATTCCTCATTGCCTCTCTAGAGGTTCACATGGATTTTTAGGTTGTCTAACTTAACTGGGTAAGAATGAGAACTATTGATTTTCCTGTTCCTAAATTTTCTTTTCCTCTTAAATTATTTTAGTATTAGAAAACAGGTCTCGTTAATTAGAGGAAGGTATCTCCTATTATAAGTATTCAGTTGTCCTGTATTTTGGTTATTAGACACGTATGTATTGGAGGGGTATGCCAGGCCTCTCCCATACCACATAGAGCTAACATGTCCCATTCCAGAGAAAACGGGGGTGTGGTCAGCATTTAACCGATTTAAAGTGAGGGAAGTCGCCCGCTCAGTGTGCTCAGTAGTGAGAGTCGAACCAGGAACCAAGAACTCACCGATTTGATTCCTAGTCAGAGAACATGCCTGGTTTGTGGGCTTAATCCCCTGTGGGGGAATGTGCAGGAGGCAGCGAATCAATGACGTTTCTCTCTAATTGATATTTCTGTCTCTATCCCTCTGTCTAAATCAATTTTTTTAAAAAGTGAAGGAGGTCTCTTTGTGCACATTTCCACAAGAATTTTGGCCAGAGAAGACTAAATTGAGAGATTTCCCTTCTTGTCCTTTAAGGCATTACCTTTTGGTTTTAAATTACAAAAATAACAAAAAATACTGTCGCTAATTTTTGTTTGGATTTTATTTTAAAGCTCCATTTCTGCTAGATGTCAGTGATATTGAGCCTTTTTTTATAACACGTGGATGCTGTCACCCACAACTGAGCCCCTCCTTCAGGCTGTGGCCCTTCCATTCCGGTGTAGGTGCCCTCTTCCCTGGAAGACATAGGGTTTCTGTGCCCCGTTTGTAAAACCTCTTATTGAAGTATAATGTAAACGCCAGAAAATCCCCTGCCGTATAACTGAGCAGCCCCAAGAGCACACAAGTGCAGCAGCCAGCGCGACAGAAACAGCAGCTCCCAGCCCCTCCTGTGCACTCCTCCAGCCCTGCACCGTCCACGGCTTGTGGTGTGAGTGGAGCAGCAGGCACTAGTGGTGGGAGAGAGAAGGTCCATGCTGTAGCTCCCTACCAGGACAGCAAACAGCTGAGCCTGCCCATAGCCACAGGGACAGACGGGACAGTGAAGCCACACCTTAGGCATCAGAGTCCCGAAGGCAGTTTGTTCAGGTGCTAGTTTAATTTTTTCTTCCTTGGAAGCGGCAGCCAGGAGGAGCAGCTTGAAATAGAACATTCCATATCGTAGCCTATTTCCATTTCCATAGCCCTGTCACTTGCTCTTTAGGGTGTTACCTGTACAAAACTATCACTTAACTGTGATGGAGATTTGTCTCTTTTGTTATCTACTGTGTGTTCTGATTGTATGCTGCTGTGGTCTTGTTTTGAATTCCTGTTTCCGTCCATTTTTTAGGTCCCAATATTGAAGCCCATGGACCTCATGGTGGAAGCAAGTCCGCGACGAATTTTTGCAAATGCTCACACATACCATATAAATTCCATTTCCGTAAACAGTGATCATGAAACGTATCTTTCTGCAGATGACCTGAGAATTAATCTGTGGCATTTAGAGATCACAGATAGAAGCTTTAGTATCCTTCATCGGGCGGGTCTCGCACTTTCCTAGGCTTGTTCTTTGCTAGGGAACTCTCAGTGCTATGCCCCTCCAGTCTTTGCTGCCTGGCAGCCGGGCTGTAAGTTCTCTGTGGCTTAAAGTGTCTGTTCCTTGAGGTGGAACTGTTTTCTACCTTTGGGGAAAGTTTTCTCCGACTGACATGATCTCAAGTCCATTGCCTTCCTGGTTAAATCATAGGCAGTTTCATGTAGTATATATTTGAAAGTTGAGCGATGCTTTTGTGGGGAGGAAGGGTGTTACTGAATTTGCTAATAGAAAATACTGGCTTTGGTTAGAATGATGTTTAAGTACACAACCTGAGAGGTGACAGATCATGGAAGACATGTAATTTAAGGGGTAGAAAAAAAAAATCTTTTAAGTGATATATGCTGTTATTTTTAGGATGAAAATCTAAATTTATTGTCTAATCACACATTTTAAATGTTATTGATTTTCCCAGAAAGTAAGGACCCTAAGAAATGAAGTAGCTTCAGTCACATTTTGGAGTGTTGGCCGGCCGGCCATCCACGCGGTCTTAACTACTGCTGTGCTGAGGCTCATGGTTTGACATGTGCTTGTCCGGCCTTTTACTCACATAAATCTCAGGAGCTGAAGTGTATATGACTTAAAACCTAGCATTTCACACTTTTTTGAGCTGTTGAATTGGTGCGTGTTTTATGTGGTCTGACAGGCAGTGCAGAGGTCTCTGTAGTGCTGCAGTGGGAGGAGGCGGGCCCCAGAGCACCCCGCCCCCCCTGGGGAAGGAGCGTTGTGCCCGGCTCCCCCGTTCTCTTCTTCTCCAGCTGGGCAAGACTTGCCACGTTATGATACTTACAGTTAAGCTCATGCCCCCGCATTCTCTCTATTCTCCTCCAAACCCTTAGGTGTTTAATCGTTCTTCTGAATAAGATTGAAATAATAGAGAGGAAGGAAGATTCTGAGATGCCATTGTAAGAAGTTGGATGCATATCCTTCCAGGTTTTTATGCCAGTGCACAAGTTTTTATGTTTGAAAACCCCAGGCGCGTCCTCCACACAGTGATACTCAAGTTCCCAGCACCCGGGAGGATCAGGAGGCCCCAAGTTCAGCTCAGTGACCTTGGCATCTTTCCCTGTAAAGTTGAAGGACTAGAATGCACCTCTTGGAGTTACTGTAAAAACGAAGAGAGGAATGCATTGGCTATTAGCCTCATTTATTTTTTAATTGACTTTATTAGGTTGACATTGGTTAATAAAAGTATATAGATTTCAGGTATATAGTTCTATAATACATAATTTGTATAGTAGATTGTGTATCACCTCAAACCAGGTCTCCTTACATCACCATTTATCCTTTCTTTGATCTCTTCTGCCTCCCCATACCTAACCTCATTTTTTTTTTTCTTAACATATTGTGACCATCTTTCTATATCAGTAGGAGTACAGACTTACAATTGCAGGATTCACTATACACTGTATTTTATATATCACTCTTTCGAGCCATAGATCTCTATTAAGTTAATATCCATTTTTTTATTTTTTTACAATCCTTCATTTTTTCTCTTGTTGGAAGCTCCTATTTTTCCTTAATCTGTGAGAACTCTTAAATACACAAAGGGTTTGTTTATACAATCATACCTTTTTTCTATTTTTTTAAATTGATTTCAGAGAGGAAGGGAGAGAGGAACATCGATGATCAGCTGCCTCCTGCATGCCCCCCTACTGAGGATCGAGCCCACAACTGGGGCATGTGCCCTTAACTAGAATTGAATGCAGGACCCTTCAGTCCACAAGCCACTGAACCAAATCAGCTAGGTCTATACAATCATATCTTTCATTGCTTATTTAAAAAATGCTTTTTCCATAATCATGCTTCAAACACCCTTTCCTGCGATTGAGATTTTAAAACAAATACTTTCTTATACTTAGTTGTATCTATGAACACTGTAAACATAGTTTTGATCTGCGCACATGTAGATTGAAAGGGGGGCTAAAGTGCTTCTCCAGATGCTCAGCCACCTGCCAGTGCCTTGCAGTCCTGCCCCTTCTGCACTCTGACAGCCACCCTGGGCTCCTCTCGAGACCACTGTCCTTCCTGCTCCTGAGCAGCCTGCTCATCTTGGCCCGGGTTCTTCCTCCAGCCTGACAGCTGCTGCCCTGCGCCTGCTGGGAGTCCTCTCTGGCACTCGCTGCTTCATGCCCAGAGCTTCCCTGGGTCCCCTCCCTGCACACCCCTGAGGTCACTGCCCTGCTGTCTGCTGTTCATGCCTTGCGCTGTGCTGTCACCTAGGTGTCAGCTTTCTCATATGTGGCAGGACATATCTGAGAGCCAGCTTCTGCTTGTTTTTTCATGACAGCGATGGCTATACTTGCTGACCTACTATGTGACTCTGAGTAACTATTTAGAACAAGCTCTGGATGTCAAACACTTGGGAAAGCAGAATCTTAAGGAATTTGGAAATGCCCGTGTGTGTGGGGGTAGGGGGGATTTATGGATAGAGCATGAGATTTTTGTGCAGGTGGGTACTTGCTTGTTTACATTAAATCTGTGTGAGCTATAAAACATCTGAAGCAGCAACAGGAGGAAAGCAGCATCAGTGAGAAGTGTGTGTGGGTGTGTGTGTCTATCCAGCCCTGTCAGGCCCATTATCCTAGTCTGCTTAATGCATCAGTGTGGATCCTCTTACTGACAGGCTCCGTCACAGCTAATCTCTTAATCCTTGCTGTGCGGGGTACTTGGCTTGACATGGACTAAAACTGCCAGGCGCTCTGCCTTAACCGTGCTCCCAGACATCGTGGACATTAAGCCCGCCAACATGGAGGAGCTGACGGAGGTGATCACCGCGGCGGAGTTCCACCCCCACCAGTGCAACGTGTTTGTGTACAGCAGCAGCAAGGGGACCATCCGGCTGTGTGACATGCGCTCCTCGGCCCTGTGCGACCGACACTCGAAGTGTAAGTGCCTGCCTGTTGGAAGCAGCTCATTTAAATCCTGCAATCAGACCCTGGAGTGTGTGCAGAGGCTGAGGGTTTGCTCCTGCCCCCGGGCCTGGACCCATTTGTGGCCTCCTTGGTTCCATCAGTCATGGGCCATGGCCAAGAGGTCCTGCTTCCCGGAGCCATTCATGTTGGAGCCACCGTAGGTTTGCTCTGCCCAGAATCTCGGTGCATCATCACAGAGACCTGGGCTGGGGCCTCAGGATGCATTTGCCCTGTGGCCCTTCTCAGCTGTTGGGAGCTGTGTTGGACTGACAGCCAGTCTCTCAGGAAAGTCGAGCACTTACTCCCAGCTTGACTCTCCTAGGTGAAGGAAGTGGCAGGTTCATTTCGTTTTTGCCCATAAAAACGGGCCCACCGTTATAGAAAGCCCTCCCACGGGTGTTGGGGATGAGACATATGCTGTGGAGACTTGCTGGAGGATCCTGAGGTGTGCTCCAGGAAAAACAGTCCAAGCAGTGCCTTGGTGGTCCTCTCCTGCCCCTGTCTCAGTGAACTGGCCTGGCCAGAATGTCTGGATTGTCTCTCACATAAGCCCACAGCACCAGCAGTGCTGACGTTGATATGCTCCCGAGCTGTTGCTCAGTCACCTTTCTACTTTTTTCTTCTGTCCTCTTTTATTGTGTCTTAAGAATTCTGCATCCTACCTGGTTTGGCTCTGTGGTTAGAGCATTGGCCCTTAGACTGAAAGGTTTGATTCCAGTTAAGGGCATGTACCTCAGTTGCAGGTTTGGTCCTCAGCCCTAATTGGGGGGTTGGGGGGGTTGCCAAAAGCAACCAATTAGCAAGTCTCACATTGATGTTTCTATTCCCCTCCCCCTCCCCCTTCCACACACACTATAAAAAAAAAATCAATGGAAATAATATCCTCAGGTGAGGGTTAACAAAGCAACAAAAACAAAGAATTCTCTATTCTTTATAGAATTCCTACAGGGAAGAGTGAGTCTTAGAACACCTGGCCACTGTCTTTAAGGTAGCACTCTTGAATGAACAATTTCAATTTCCAAGAGTAGTTTTTGTCAGCAAAATAATTCATTTTAATAGATATTCGGTATTGCCACCAGCTTCTTGAAAATTAACTTTAGCCCTGGCTGGTGGGGCTCAGATGATTGTGCATAGTCCCATGTACCAAAGGTTGCTGTTTGAATTCCTGGTCAGGGCTTGATCTCCAGTAGGAAGTGTACGGGAGGCAGCCATCCATGTTTCACTCTCACATTCATGTTTCTCTCTCTCTCATTCTCCCTGTCTAAAGATCACATTTTTTTTAAATCTTAAAAAAAAATTTACAGGTTCAAAAAAAAGTAAGGCAGCCTAAACTTAAAGAACATGCCAACCTCCTTGCCGAAGGTGACTGAGCCGAAGGCATGGCAGTGCCCAGGGCTTAGGTGCAGCCTCCACGACACCACGGGTGAAAGACCGTGCACTTACTGCCAAGAGCAGAACTGGGAGACAGTAGGATTTGCCAAGGAAGATGAGGATCTTTCTGAAAGGAGTGATCCAGTTTTATCAAAATAGATCGTGACCATGGAGTAGTGAAAACGAACTTTGAAGTAGAGGGCCGCTGGTTATTGAACCTTGGACCATGTGGAGGTTGTGGTCAGTCTTGAGGTGGGGAAGACAGGATGTCTGAGCTGCTGGGACGGTCCAGACAGGCAAACCTTCAGCAGACGTGCAGGGCACTTTCTCAGCCGCCCTGAGCACGGCACCTGCGATCTCATGTGATGCTGTTTCTTATCTTCCAGTGATAGGGACGGGGCAAGGCTGGACATGTTTGCTAGGGCCTGGGGCCACAAGGACATGCAGCTGTCTGTGCAGTTAACAGCCTCCGATCAGCCCAGGGTCCTTAGCCAGAGCACAAGGCAGCACGTACTGGGATCCTCTCCAGGTAGCAGCTGAGGCCTCACGCACGGACATGCTGGTCCTGAGCTGGGTGGAATCGGGGCCCGTGCTTCTATCACTCGCTGGCACTGGAGTGGTCTGCCTAAACTTAAGCACAGAAGTGGAACGCCAGAAAGTGCCTGGAAGTCAGAAGCTTGAGCAGTAGCCCTCTGCGGTGTCAGGAGGGCCCAAGTCCTGCAGGGACTTCAAAATCATTTGTCCAGTTTCTAAACAGAAGCCGGAAATACTGTTTTTCAGTTTTTGAAGAACCTGAAGATCCCAGCAGTAGGTCTTTCTTCTCCGAAATAATTTCCTCCATCTCCGATGTGAAATTCAGCCATAGTGGTCGGTACATGATGACCCGAGACTACCTGTCGGTGAAGGTCTGGGATCTGAACATGGAAAACCGGCCCGTCGAGACCCACCAGGTGAGGCCCCTGTGGGAGGACACGCCACGCCTCACACGTGACGCTTTCTAACCATCCTGTGATCTCATTAAGGTCCACGAGTACCTTCGAAGCAAGCTGTGCTCTCTGTACGAAAATGACTGCATCTTCGACAAATTTGAATGCTGCTGGAACGGCCCAGACAGGTAAGCCTGCATCAAGACTGACCGCCACACAGGCTCGTCTCCCGTGGGCCGCCTCAGGCCCAGCAGGCGACTTCCAGAGACAGATGGGCGCTGGGCGAGCTGCGTGGAGGATGCTGGCGGACGTGGCTTCCTAGGCCATCTGTTTGGTGACGGTGTTGAGGTGGGGAAGACAGGATGTCTGAACCGACTTCTCTCCCCTTACTCATAATTCCTTCTATATTTAGTGAGCGTGGCAGTACTAGGTTCATGTTGATGGTTTTGTAAGTGCTTGGTGAATGATAATTTCTTCTTTTCTGTTTCCAAGATGAGTGGGAAGGAAGGAAGGGGGAGGTCATGTACTAGTAAGTACAGAGATGGCCTGTTCTTCCAGAAAAGCAGAAGAAAATACCCTCAGAATTATTGGTTGTCACGCTTCGACAGAGTAGAGGGGGCCAGGGTGAAATCCTCATTTAATTTATGCGACAATTCTGTTACATGATTATCTTGTGCATACTTTAAAGATGGTAATACTAATATTGCTGAGAGTTAAACCTTTAATATCATTTAAAAAATTCTGTTTCTGATGATGGCAGGAGATGAACTTGCATCATCTTTAATAGAAACTGTCACGTAGCGCTCCTGGCAGCAAGGGACTGGCAGGCATTCTGAAAAGCCCTTCGGCACAAATAGAAACCCTGGTATGACACCACACATTTTTTCATGTGCACAGTGAGCTCACAAGGGCCAAGTGAGGAGGGATCCAGGACCCCTCAGCTTGTACAGCCCACTATGGGCTCATGCAGGCTGGGCATTGAAACCGGGTCCTTGTGGGTTACAGAAAAGGTGTCTGTTCAGATGGAGTCCCAGGGGAATTCGTCTGAGCCCTTCGATTGGGGTGGATAAAAACCTTGAGATTTGTGACCACGAGCCTGCCCTCTGTGTCACAGCGATGGAGAGCTTATACTGGCTGCAGGACCTGTGCTGGGGGTGAGGCGCTCTGCATGGCTGCAGGAATAAACTGGCTTCCGGTCTGGGCTTACCTGTCAGGCTTAGTGTTTCCTGGGTCAGAGACAGGGCTTCATGGCACAGCAAAGCAGCATGAGCTTTGTGTTGGCCTTGGTCCCTCAGACCCACAGGAGTGACACAAGGGGCCCAGCAGATGCCATGCAAGTAGTGGGGCTGTTCCAGCCGCACACACTGAGCTTTTCATAGCAAGTAGTAAACAAGCCTGCACTTGGACGTCTGCAGACACAACCCAAGAAGTGGGCCAGGTGGAGAGCCCTCAAGAACCACATTCCTGACAAGCCCACCGAGAGCACCCCTGGCAGAGCCCTTGTGGGTACATCCAGGGCTCACAGGAACTCAGCAATGAAAACTGTCATGTCACTGGGAGCCAGCCAGCAGAGACAACAGAACTTAGCCTCTGAGAATTCAGATTCTGAAGTCAGATGTTACAGAAGATAAAATAAGAATGCCAGCAGCACAGGTTAAAGGAACCAAGCCTGAACAGGCACAAGACAAAAATGGCGTAGGACAGTGGTCGGCAAACTCATTAGTCAACAGAGCCAAATATCAATAGAATAGTACGACGATTGAAATTTCTTTTGAGAGCCAAATTTTTGCCATTTCTTCAAAATAGACTCGCCCACGCCGTGGTATTCTGTGGAAGAACCACACTCAAGGGGCCAAAGAGCCACATGTGGCTCGAGAGCCGCAGTTTGCCAACCACGGGCCTAGGAGATATGGACAAGAATCAATCAGAGCTCCTAGAAATGAGTGCAGTGGTTGGAAGTTGCTGCATGGAGTAAACCACATGTGCCCCATGGTCGGTCTAAGGAAGGCGCTGAGCACAGACAGCAAAGTGCATGGATATGCATGGTTTGATGACTTGTGTGATATTTAGGATTGTAGGATAGTGTGTGTCTAAGAACATGTAACTTCAGAATGTAGACATGTACAGTGTGGTGCACTCTGACCTTGAGTGCTTGTGCTGCAGGGGACACAGTAGGATTTAACTATCAGCAGTGGTTTTTGGGTACACACATATTCTTGTATATTTTTTTATGCTTTTTGGTATATCTGAATGAATACAAAATTCATTTAATTCACCTGTCCCAGGGACTTCCAAAAGCTCTGTTCTTTCATTCTTGCGAACACGCCCCTGCCTCTTTGCGTGGAAGCTTCTGCGGAGGGGCAGGGTGAAGTGGAGGAGGGCTCGGGCCGTGCAGCTGAGCAGCCCTGCGCATGTTCTAGGTTGTCTAGAGAACGGACAGCCGCCACTGGGAGTCCACTGACGCCACACCCGGCAGTGTTCCCACCGTCGAAATAAGCGCAGCTAGCTTGGAGTGATTTTTCTCCTGAGCTTACCTTTTATTCTGGTGTGAAGTTTAGACAAGGTTAATCAGACAGTAAAGTATCTGCCTACAACTGGGATCAGCCTTAAACCGTGTAAATGAAGCATCAGGTTCCCCTCAGGGAGCCTTGAGGATCCATAGCTCCTCACGCTGGGAGGAGACGGGGAGACGTGAATGTCGGAGGACTGCAGAAATGGACCCATTCTAAAGCCATGGCTCAAATCATGGCAGACGTTCACTGTTGTTCTGCCATTTTTCTTGAAAAAGAAGGGAAATTTTAACCAATAGAATAAAAATATATTGTGGTGGTGATTTACTTACTGAAAGCTATTAGAATTAATCCTGAAGAAATAGTATTGCAACCTCTGGAATTATGAACGAGGTTCTAAATCTCCCACACTTTCCCCAATGACTTTCTCTTACTTGTACTTTTGCTTCATGTGAAAAAAACTTTTGAAATTAATGAATTAAAAACACATTCTTTAATCAACTGTTAATGAAGCTACTGTGCCAAGTCAGATGTCTATTAAATATGAAGAACATGGATATCAACTTCGAATCACTGATACAATACAGAAGTTGAACCTTGGGAATAAATTACACCGTTATTCGTCACCAGGACAGATGACATGTAGCGGGGTTCTTTACCTTTTTTGAAAATTAATGTAATAAAAATATGAATCCATTACTTTTTTGTTCTATAATATTTGTTTTTACTGACATGATTTTACGAAAGTGTTTTATATATATATGAAATTCTCACTGCATTTCTCTCCTGACCATGATTACTTTTCATGTCTGGTTTCTAAGAATTATTTCTAAGAATTACCCTGTTATGTAGCTCAGGAGTCCCAGTGACAACATGGCTTGTCTTGTGCTGCGTCAAGTGCCTGCTGGCTTACACGTGCTTCTCTCTGTTTGAACAGTGCGATCATGACGGGGTCCTACAACAACTTCTTCAGGATGTTTGACAGAAACACAAGGAGGGACGTGACCCTGGAAGCTTCCAGAGAGAACAGCAAGCCTCGAGCCAGTTTGAAGCCTCGGAGAGTGTGTCCAGGCGGGAAGAGGAAGAAGGATGAGATCAGTGTGGACAGTCTGGACTTCAATAAGAAGATTCTGCACACAGCTTGGCACCCCACTGATAACATTATTGCTGTGGCTGCCACCAACAACCTGTACATATTCCAGGACAAAGTCAACTAGCAAGTGTGAGAGCGCATCATCCAGCAAAGCTAAGCCTGTGGCTTCTGTTGTGGAAGGGCGTCCTCTCCGTGGATCGCAGGGTGCACACCCTGCTCCCTTCTTAGACTGGAGCCGCGCACACAGCCAGGCAGGCTGTGGGGAGCCGCTGCACAAGCGAACTTGGTGCAGTCTGACGGACAGAGCTCAATAAAGGCCATTACTCACAATAAATGTATTTATTTAAATCTGAGCCGTCCTTTCCAGTTTATAGACCAAAAAATGGACACCCAACAGAAAACTTGTCCTGTATCCCTCTCTCGTCCCTCTGCCATCTGATGAGGGCTCTCGTGCACTGTACCAGTCGTCCGGGGGCCACTGGCCAAATGCTCAGGCAGCTTTACCTCCCACATGCCTGTATCTTCCATCACACCTGGTGTAACCACCTAATAAAAGCAACACACCATACAAAGTGTTTTTAATCCAAGTCCAAGTATTGCCTTTTTCTTTGATCACAGATGACGAGGTTGTACAAAATCATGCTTCAGAACAACGTGGAACCTTGTCCTTCATCGGCAGGACCTGTGAAGTTCTGAGTGTGCCTGTCCCCAAGCTTGCTAACTTTGCTTGTCTCTGTAGAAATACTACCTCTGACACAGCAGGTAAGATCCAAGACACCTTCACTCACTGCTGAGAAAGCAGATTGCAAGGAACCGAACAGACTTGCTGCAATGAGCTGAGTACCAGGTTCCACGCCTCTCAACTTCATTGTGGTTGAAAACGTGTGTGCTTGCTTTTACTTTGTTAAACGTAGGGAGGGGGCCATGCTGTACAGGTCGCTCACCCTGTGTGCATAAGCCAGCAAAACCAGACACCTTACAAGGTGAGGCCACTAGCATCCCAGACGAGCCACAGAGCTGTAACCATACGAAGTGCTGGGGCTGCGATGCTTTCCGACTTGTTCTGAACCCAAGGCAGTGTCTGGGGGAGGAGCATGGCTCACATTCACCCTGAAAACAGGTATGTGTGCTTACTAATGACAGTAACGCACAAATGCTGTCACTCGTTACCCTGAATTAATGATGCCACGTAAGTTCACGTTTAGAAATCGAGAAGCTAAAAGTGCATTTTACTTGAAAAATAATGCTGTATGCTGGTTTTAGCCATTTCCTATTTGAGATGTGGAAGAGTTAAGAATCACTCGCCCGTTAGGAAAAAGCAGCTCTAGCACAACTACAGGGGTGGGTGTAGTTCCACTACTCTGACCAAAAACGTAATGAATTTCCGATGTGAGATTTACACCGTGACAGCTTCTTCCGTCTTTCCTTTAAGATGTACCTCCCCCCAAGTAGAAAGCCAGTCTTTGTGTCTTGGATGGGACAGAGCAAAGGCTGTGGGCATCACTGTGGCTGCGACTGAGGTCGCTTCAGCTGGCTCAGAAGCTCCGATTCTGAGGGTCCTTCTCCGAGAAAGGCACTGGCGAGTGAGTGCAGGGCAGAGGGCAGTGGGGTTTTCTTGACCTTGACCTCCCAGGAGCTGCACTGTCTTGTGGTTGAGGGAGTGCAGAGATTGGAGTCACTGCACTCACACCTCCAGGTTTCTGTATTGGTCCCTCTGTATTGAAAGCCCTGAGCTAACACACCTCGAGTGCAAACCCACCCGCCCCAGGCCACGTGCTGGCCCCCCAATGCCTGGCTCGCTGCCCAGAATGTGCTTGTGCTCTGGATCAGCACACAACGAAGCTCACCCATTCATCCCTTTCAGAAACTAGATTTGCCAGCAAGACCTGCACTGCTGTGTCCACTGGACCTTACCTTTCAGTGCCCAGCCCATTGCGATCCAGTGTTCAGGCCCCACCCTCCTTTCCCACCCCTTCAGCATGGCTTCATTCATCAGGTTCCCTTGTCTCTCTGACGCTGGCAATAAATGTAGCATCACTATGGGTCTGGTCATTTGCACGAAAGGTATGGCTCCTCCTCATACCTTCCCATCTCCCGCTCTGCCCTGTCCCACCCACCCTCCAGCCAATCCCCATCTCTGGCATATTACACCATATTCCTTTTTGCACAGTGAGATAGATGTGTACATTTTCTTTGGCTTTTTGCATAAACGATAGCATACTACATCTTCTATTCTCTTCTCAAACTCTTAATTTGTTCACCGGTCTGCACTAAGGACTCAGTGGGTTCATCTTATCTCCTTTCCATGGTGGCAACGGGGCAGCTCACCCGATAGCAGAGGGTCCCCTTCAAAGATGGACCACCCTGATGGCTGTTCCACCCTTCCCAGGCAGGCCTCGGCCCCTCACCATATGGTGGGTGGGCGAGTCCAAGGGGAGGACACAGCAGCAGTCTGAGCAGTCCAGGAGTACTTTCTCCCACCAGCCACGGCTGCGGGAGACAGATGATAGCTCCCCTGCAAGACGGACCATCAGAGGACTGGCCTACCACTGACTAATTTCCTGTCCAATGGGGACAGAGTTATTTTTAATATCACTCAGTTTCAGTTCATTGACCCCTCTACCCCCTTTTTAAAAAATATCTTTATTGGCCGAAGCCGGTTTGGCTCAGTGGTAGAGCATCGGTCTGTGGGCTAAAAGGTCCCAGGTTCGATCCCAGTCAAGGGCATGTACATTGGTTGCGGGCACATCCCCGTTAGGGGGTGTGCAAGAGGCAGCTGGTCGATGTTTCTCTCACTGACGTTTCTAGCTCTCTATCATTCTCTCTTCCTCTCTGTAAAAAAATCAATAAAATATATATATTTTTTAAATAGATCTTTATTGATTTCAGAGAGGAAGATAGAAACATCAATGATGAGAGAATCATTGATCAGCTGCTTCCTCTCGGCCCCTACTGGGGATTGAGCCCACAACCCAGACACGTGTCCTGACTGGGAATCAAACCCAGGACTCTTCAGTACGCAAGAAGATGCTCTATCCAAAGAGCCAAATCAGCCAGGGCTCCCCCCTATTTTATTTCAGAGAAGGAAGATGGAGAGAACAATAAGAATCCTCAATCAACTCCCTCCTACATGCCCCCCGACTGGGGACCAAGCCCACAACCTGGGCATGTGTCCTGACTGGGAAGCGAACTGTGACCTAATTCATAGGTCAATGCTCAACCACTGAGCCACACCAGCCAGGCATGTTTTAATTTATCTTAATCCAAAATTGGGTTTACTTGTTATTCAATGACTAAGTTATTATTTTTATTAATAGTAGAAAGGTCTATTTGCAAAAGCTTAATTATAATACTATTATTCTACCTGAAATATATACATACATATACACACTTTAAGGAAACTGTCCACCAGAAGAGCAGTGGCATGTAATGGGGAAAGCCGCTAGAAAACCTCGTCTCTGCCCCTTTATGGAAACATTCTCAGCGCTTCACCAATAGCTTAGTGATGCCATCAGTGACAGGGACAAGAGCACCTGCCTATCAAGGGCCAAAGTGCCTGACAGATGGTTCAGATGGCACGGGGGGTCACTAGCTCTTTAAGAGGTGCTAATTCTATGGACGCTGCCCTTTCCCAGACGTGCTGAGTACAAAGCCAATGTCATGACACAGAGAAGCCCATCCCTGTTTCCCAGGAAAGACGCACTTGCTGACTGAATGGGACCTTAAGAGACTCTAGAGGGTACATGCCAAAGTATTCTGAAGCCACCCAGCCAGCTGTGTGCCAATGAGAGGGCTGTGAATCATCTCCATATAAACAGGTTTTTTAAAATGAAATTTTTACATTTATTTTAACACAACTGCATTGAATATGGAAAAGTGAAATACACAACAGCATAAACAGCATACCAGAGGCAGCCTTGGAAAAACCATGCTGAAGAGAAAATAATCAGACAACGGGACTATGCCTGGTTTAACCCTAAAGCATTCATAGTTTTCCTTTTAAATTATATACAAATACAGTAATCGCAATTTACCAGCAAGGCCTGCACTGCTGCGTCCACTGGACCTTACCTTTCAGTACCCAGCCCATTGCGATCCAGTGTTCAGGCCCCACCCTCCTTCCCCACCCCTTCAGCATGGCTTCATTCATCAGGTTCCCTTGCTGGAAGGATTTGGCAAAAATTTATTTCCTATTTCCAGTCGTTTACAGTAGACACCAATCTACTTAAAATGAAGCTGAATCTCAGAGCACTCCAAAAAAATGAACATAAATGAGCCTAAACGCAGCGATCCCGAGTGGGGATGAGAACAAGAGGTGCTTTAGCAGGTGTCCTAGGTGCATCATCTATGTGGTCACTACAGTCATCACCCTGCCCCAGCATGCAGGCCAGTGTCTGCACTGCACAGGGCCCAGCCCGTGCCCTGGGCCCTGTCACAGCTCAACAGCTAACAGTGCAGAGTGGTCTTCACAGACCCTGCATCCATGTCCAGGGAGCCCTACAGCCCTACAGTGTGGTGTAAGGCCACATGTTTATTTGGGATAAACCATTATGGAGTCACTTTAACAATGTTATCCATCCTTTCAAAGTAGGGAGGATTTTAACTGAATTAAGGTTACAGATAATTTTATTAAAACACTACATCATGACTAGCATGGTGAAATTTATACTCATGTTTATAATATCAAAGGAAAGTTACCACCACATTATTCCAGTAGTACTAGTGTGACATGCTCATTGATTGATCCCACAGGTACGGCTGGTTCTAGGTTAGCGTGGTTTCAGTGTCTACTCTTCATCTCACTAAATCAGGCACCCAGCATTTACAGGACAAATCAACACAGTGGCAGCCACCAAGGCCCCGGACAGCGCCTCAGTGAGCCACGTCGCAAGCTCCAGTATGAATCCCGCTCCCTGTGAAAAGCCGATTCCGATTCCTCATCAGAAGGTGCTGGTGGAGGTGGTCAGCCGCCGCCCGATGTAGATCCTGAGCAGAAAAGTAAGAGCTGAGCGGAGCCCAGGATCCACGGCCGGGCAGCCGTGAGCCTGTCCCCATGCCAGCCTAGACTGGCTGCACGGTTACCTAGTGTTCCCACCACTGTGCATCCTGCAGTCCGCAACACCCCCACGAAGGAGGGTCTCCCCAACATGCATGAGCACATGGGATGCAACAGCCTGCTGGACGGTCATTGCACATGGCACTGACTACCAACCTCACAGGCCATGGCAGACAAGGGTGTGACTCCAGGAAAGGGGGGCGGAAATGGAGGAGCCTAGCAGGCACAACAAATAGTATGCAAGGCAGCTATCAGGTGGGAAATGGCTGCAGACACCACTCTGTAGGTCCTGCCCCCTCAGAATCAGTTGCTAGTTCCGGAGAAAGCTCCAGAAATCACTGCATCTACTACACACCAAGGCGAGTGTGACTTGAACAGCATCGGACACAATAAATCTGGACACGCCGACATCGAGGAGCCCACGTGGGAAGCCATTCTCACAGGCAGAACTGTGGTCTCCCTCTGCCTCAGACTCAAGCCCTCACGCCATGTGGCACCAGCCTACATCAGCTGTCTTCCCCCCTCCCCCCCCCCCCCGCATGTCCAGTGAGCTGCAGCCATAGAGCACTGTCACCCAGCAGGACAAGTGAGGCCACCACACCATGCAGGCTGGGGTGAGCCAGAGAGAAGAGCAGCCCCGACTCCCCAGATTCATGCCTCAACACTGTCTGGGTCAAAGGTCCTTAGGATCTGTAGCCGAACTATGTGTTTTCTGCATCATTAGTGCAAGAAGCCAGAGAATGAGTGCCTGTGTCCCTGCTGAGGGGATTGCAGGAGTCACAAGTGACAGGCTCTCTGCAGCAGAAAGGTGTGCAGTGTGCACACAGCGGGCCTAGAGGCGGGGCGGTCATCTGTGCCTGCACACAGACAGCACGGCTAAGGCAGCCAGCACGAGTCCCGCTTATGTGCCCTCGCCTGTACTGGCAGCGTCAGTGCCAGGCTGGCCTGAGGGGTAGGGGGCGGGGCTCCCAGGGTCACGGTCATGTTTGTTTCCTGACCTAGACAATGATCACATGGACATGTTTGCTTACATAGTTACATAAGCTGTGACTTATGGCCTATTATTTTAGCAAAAGGCTTAAAAGGAAGTCTCTGAGACCTAGAACTGTCCAGCAGGCCATGCAAGATCACTTACCCTAGTCCAATGGCCAGCAGGTGTGAGAGCAGCAGAGACGGAAGGAAGACTTTGAGAAACTCAGCGGAAAAGACACCCCCCTTCTTCATGACGCTGGTGTTCCTCATGCTGAGTGTGGCCGTGCGCTTCGGGTGCCTGAACAGAAACTCCCTGCAGAGGGAAGAGCTGTGAGCTCGCTGGCAGCTCCATCTCAGAGCTACCCTGTTTCCCCAAAAATAAGACAGTGTCTTATATTAATTTTTTTCTCCCAAAGTTGCGCTAGGCCTTATTTTCAGAAGATGTCTTATTTTTGGGAAACACGGTAGTTCACGACGCTCTAAATACTCACTTAGGGGGGATGTTTTCCGGCCGGCTGGACCAGTCCCATATCCAGTCTGAGTTTTTCTTTAGGATGCTTTCCACTTCTTTCCTCCTCTCAATGTAATCTTCTTCCGACTAAGAGAAAGTGAATGTTAAAACCCAGGAACCACACCCCGCCCAGCATCAGACCAGAGGCTCATCTCGGAGCCGGGTCCGTGGGCGGAGGGTGGGCTGTGGGGCTGCATCTCCTGCTCTTCCCCCTTTACAGACGGACACTGTTGTCAAAGCCCCAACTGTGAGATCTAGTGGCAGTAAGAGCAGCAAACACTGCCCAAGGAAGCCACATGGAGGGAGGAAAGAGGCGCCACAAAGACGCTGAGGGCGAGCTGGCACAACCAGGAAATGAAAACTGCCAACGCTGGAGCAAACAGTGTTGAGAAAGCTGCTCTCGCGAGAAATGGCCGGGAAAGCCAAACTCCTAGACTGATCCAGCTACATTGGTGAAATGGTGCAATAATCCACCAAGAAAGGGGACTTTACAAGTAGGACTATAGGTGCTTTAAAAAAAAAAAAAAAAAATTCTGTATCTGAGCATAAAATTCGTTTTTTGAATCTGAAAGAAAAAAAAAAAAAACACACTTAACATTTTAACCCTTTGCACTCCGCTGTCCCCTCTCAGGGGACATCGGAATTCTAGCATATCACTTGGATGTCCCCTCTCAGGGGACATTGCAGTTTATTAGTGATTACGGGGAATTGAGTTAATTCAACACACATTTCGCAAAGTAGCGTCGAGTAGCTGGTAGCCAATGTCCAGAATGGTTCGGAGTGCAAAGGGTTAAAATTCCTCCAGAATGCAAAGCCAAACAGACATCAGGGCACCCCAGCTGGGAGTGGACCCCAGTGTCTGGGGCAGGAACTTCTGAGGGTCCTGGAAGCCTCTGGTCTAGACAAAGCCGGGAAATAAGGGTTCCTCCTGTCCTTCTGAGACCATCCTGGGACAGGCATTTCCTGAGTGCCCAGCTGAGCGAAGGAGGCTGGCCTTGGCCACTGACGCACGTCTGCTAGGGCCACCACCCTGTACTCACAGCAGAGCTCAGGGCCTGACATGTTAGGACAGGGACCTCGGGCTGAAATGACCAGCCTGGTTAGCTCCTAACTAAACCGCCCACCAGTTAGCATGGCCTGAGAGTTTCTGGAAGCAACTGAAATGCCAAATGAGAAAGGCCCATCAGCATTCCGACCACAATGGCAGAGCTGCCCTGGCGGCTTGGAGCGAATGCCAGCACTCCCAGACATTAAAACCCATTCACAGCCCAATGGAAGGTCAGGACGACCGTGACTACGCACTAATGGCCCAGATCCCTTCCCACAGGCCATCACACCCGCTCCCGGCCACAGGGCCCCACCCTATGTCCTACCTAAGCCCATAACCAGTCGCTCTGTGAGTCCTGTGTAGAGATGCCCTCACCCCACACGTCCCAAAAAAAGGGCAAGAAACACCCTCAGAGCCAGACGTTTCTCTACCTGGTCCCAGAGCGACTGACCACAGGAGAGGATCGCACACGCACCACCCGCCTACCTGGGAGCTGTTCTTTTCTCCGATGCTATGGCTGTCTGTCTCAGATGCTCGGTTCGTGTCCTGTGGGGTCTGTGAGCGAGGCGGGCTAGGGGAAAACAGGACATGTTAGCATTCCCTGCATCAGAGGCAAAGCCCTGCGGACAGGGGACTGTCAGAAGCAGTTTCCCTTCCACTGGCACAAGGCCAGGGCCAGACCCACCTCCCACCTGCCAGCTAAGCTCAATAAGCGTCCACAGCCAGTCCCAGGGGACACGGCACAGCCTGAGGGTGGTGGCTTCATCACCCACCAGCTTAGTGGTCTATTACACAATCAATCCTGTGAGCACCTGGCCTTTGACCTCGGACTCGGCCATGCGGCCTGAGTCACTGGCCGTGCTGAGGACAGCTGCTCGTGACAGCTATTGGAGGCGAGGGCAGAAGCAGGGGAGGGGACAGGACAGTGTCCACCCCTTGCTGCCTCGTGGTCCCTCCTTCCACCAGAGGACAAGGGACCACTGTCTAAGCCTGCTCGCCCTAGCACAGCAGCACTGTACATGCCTGTGTCTGCACCCACCTGTCACAGTGAGAACTCTTGGAGCTGCTCCGTCCAGACTCATGCTGGGCATCCAGCAGGATTTTCTCCATGTCACCATTATAAATAGAAACTGAGGCTGGCACGCTGCTGCCGTTCCCATTACTGCTGAAGTGCAGTTCCACCCAGGAGCCTGTGGGGACACAACAAGGACAGAGTTAGAGTTTCCACCCGGGACACCCAGAGGGGCTGGGACGCACAGGATGGCTTGAGCCACGCCCATTCCCGGCTCTTGCGGACGTGTGCAGCAGCAGCAGAGTCCAAATGACCCGAGAGCTTTTTTAAGAAAAAGGGTGCCAACAAGAGCTGAGTTTTAAAAGGTAAGAAAAAACTACCTCTTTTCAAGATTCCCACTCACTGGCGGCACATTCTCACCCTAAGGGCCCAAGTATTATATTTGCTGCTCCGTCTTATTTACATCACGAGCAAGAGGAATACACCTTGGACACAACAAAGGTCATTTCTGCCTGAACTTGACTAAGCAGAGGGTCCCATTCGGCTGTAGCTAAGACAGCCACCGTGTGAGGCTGGGAGGGCTGGGACCCAAGATCAAATCCCAGGGTTTGCCCTTGAGGGCCACCAAGTGTGCCTGGCTTCAGCCTGTGGTGGCTGCATCCAGAACTCCACCGCATGGCCACCCCATCATCTGGCCACTGTGACACGTGGGCCCGTGTCCGTGTGGGCAGCTCTGAATGCCACTTCACAAACATCCCTCCAGACTTTGTGGTGTCCACGTGCTCTCGTCTCTGCTGGACACACCCAGGTGTGGATTACTGGGCTGAAAGGCGGCAACCTGTGTTCACCGTTACCAGAACCGTCATGCCCCCCCAGCAGCCAATGCGGCCGTCCCAGCCTCACTGTCTTCACCCTCAGGCACGGGGAGAGGGGAGCGTCCTGTGTGGATTAATTTGCATTTCTCTGATTTGCAACCACGTTGAGCATGTTTCCATGCTTACTGGCCATTTGGGGAGCATCTTTTTAATTAGTTGTTCAAAACTCTTTTCTATTGAGTTTTCCCTCTGTCTGTAGCAGCTCAATATTGAAGATAACAGCCTTTCTCCATCTTGAATGTGTTGCAGGTAACTTGCACTGTTTGTCTTTTCACTCTGCATCTTCTAATGAACATAAACTCTTGATTTTAATTCAGTCAGATTTTCGACCTTCTAATCCGAGGTCATGAAGGTAGTCTACTGTATTATTTTCAAGAAGCTGCACTGTTCTGGCACTCACTCAGACCAGGGTTCAGTGAGGTGAAGCAATCTGTGTGTGATCTGACCCGGCTAGTTTGTTCCGTTCGCTGACAAGGCGGCCTCTGCTCGGGGAGCCGGGGGGAGCGCGGCCCAGGACAGCTCTCCATTTTGTGCCCTAAGTCTGTGTATCTCCACACCTGTGTGTTCCTAGATCACTGTGGTGGCACAGGGACAGAGGGAAGGTAGAGTGAACAGAGTGAAAAATCCATGTTCTAGGGAAACTCAGCCGACTAATCACATTACAGTAATCACCTCCCAAAGGGGAGGGGCTGAGCAGCTGGTCCTAAGCCACAGGGCTGCAAGCCAGCCCCTCCTGCCTTTCCCACCGGGAGCGGCATCGCCTTCGGGACGCCCACTAGCCCTCAATAGCCTCTGGCATACTAGAGAGAGACCTCCCAGGACACCAGCCTCCCTCTGCACTCACAAAACAGCCACTCAGATTCTCAAGCCAACGCGCTGCTTCACTAGCCTCTCTCCATGCCTGTCACGGGCACGGCAGCAGGCCAGCTCTGTCTTGGAGCCCAGGCCGCCCGGCATCTGCTCTGAGCAGTACAGTGACTTCAGAGACCACTGTGTCTTCACCACGGCTGCCGACCGTCTTCCGGGGGTTCTGACGCACCGCAACGCCATGCAGCATCGTAAACACTCAAGCCCTCCTTCCTCCCCTGGGACCCAAGGTGATACTCGGCCAACTAGCACGCCAGCTCTGGCCTGGTGGCATGGAACATACCACAAGCCCTGCGCTGGGCACAGTTCCATTTTCTTCGGTTCAACGGGTTAGTCGGATTCTGGGCCTGGCTTAATGTACTAGATCAGCTCACTACGGTATCTGATGTAAAGTCTTCTGGTACTTGTGTGGGGTTTCCACACCAATAACCAATTCTCCGATACCAGCTGTAACAGTTCAAGTCAATGCCGCTCCACTACCAGCAGTGGTGGTCAGGTCCCACATGTTAAAAGCTTAGTCCCATGGGACTGCCCCCACGTCAGACACCAGTCACAAGGGGATGCCAGGCCCCCACACTCCTGCCTGGCAGACCACAAATTCTAGGCCTACAATACCCACCTCCACACACACACTCTCACTAGAATAACCACCAGAACTTCACTGCCATTCACCCATTTACTAGACAGGACACAACTAAGGAGCAGCCAACTGGAGGAGACGCCAGTCCCGGTGCACCACCCTCTCAGCTCGGAGGTTTCATAAACCAAGCTCTAGCCCTAGCCAGTTTTGCTCAGTGGTTAGAGCTTGGGCACTGGGACTGAAGGGTCCTGGGTTTGATTACGGTCAAAGCCATGTACCCTGGCTGCAGGCTCAATCCCTGGTCCTGTGTGTGAGGCAACCAATTGATGTTTCTCTCACATGGATGTTTCTCTCCATCTGTCTTTCCCCCTTTCTTCCCCTCCCCCTAAAATGGAGGGGGGAAAAAAAATTCTCGGGTGAGGATGAGCAAAACCCAATCTCCAGTCCCTCCCCTCCTGGACTCCACCCTCTCATCAGAGTTGGTCTTTCCACCTGCATCCTGAGGCTACCCAGGGCCTCACAGTCACCTGTGTTCCACAGGGGCTCCATACAAGAGGAGTGGTTGACAAATAGCAAAGACAATCCTATCATTCAAGAATCCCCAAGGGTTTAGAGCTCTGTGCCAGGAAACAGAGAAACACTAAATAAAAAATTTTAAATGAGGAATAATTGACATATGACATATAAGTTTCAAGTGTCCATATATTATACTTCAAGGGCCAACTCAGGGCTCCATGGAAACAAGTATATGCTTTGTAGAATCATCTCATAAAAAGTCCTAAGCATCCCTGAGAAAGTAAAAACCCCATTCTGGACTGTATGCAGCAAAAGCTTTGGGTCTGAAAGATGTATATTCCAAGGAATGATTTAGTGAAGGGCAAGCTGTATTACTGACTTTAAACAACTGGAAAATTGAGGGCAAGTATGATATGAACAGACTTATATTTTGCAAGAAAGATAGGGTTACAGTTGCTTCATGACCTTAGAAAATTTCCTCAGAGCTGAAAAAAATCTGCCGAATAACCGGCTCATACTGAGGCCCGGGCAGAAACAGGTGCTGCTGCTGATCAGGCGAGCCCTCACTCCGAGCTGCGCGCCACACCTGCTCGGATTTTACGATAACGCCACCGCAAGCCAACCTCTGAACAAGGTTGCCGAGATTAAGTGTCCACCAGCTCCAGCCCTTTCCGGACAGACCCGAGGGGATGGAGCCCCAGGAGGCCACCCCACACTCTGGCCCCAGGCAGCAGGTCCCCCCAGTGCCTAGAGCATCACCGGTGGTTTCCACTGCTCCCAGAGGCCAGCGCCCTGCACTCCCCAAGTTCTGATTTGCAGGGCTGGGCAGCACCTGGCAAACACAGTACTTTGAAAAGGCTACACTGAGAGGCAGGGCTGAAAATGGCTGGCTAGAGGGAATGACAAGTAGCCAAATAACTTTCTATAAGAACAGAGGGAGTTTGGCCGAAACTGGTTTGGCTCAGTGGATAGAGCGTCGGTCTTCGGACTGAGGGGTCCCAGGTTCGATTCCAGTTAAGGGCACATATCTTGGTTGTGGTCACATCCCCAGTAGGGGGTGCGCAAGAGGCAGCTGATCGATGATTCTCTCTCATTGATGTTTCTCTATCCCTCTCTTTTTCTTCTCCGTAAAAAAATCAATAAAATATATTAAAAAGAAAAGAACAGAGGGAGTTTGGAGGAGGCCTGGCAGCCCAGCGGGAAAGCCTGGGCAGGGCACTGAGGAGAGAAAGGGGGACAACCACCCTAGTCCCAGGGTTTCTTCCCAGGGAGAGGTGGGAGGGGAACAAGACGGCTGAACGGCGATTCCCCAAACAGTGAAATAAAGTGATTCTGAACACAAAGCCATCTGTTTTTTAACTGTTGTCAGTTGCCCACTGGGCTTGATAACTATGCCCATCTGTGAAATGTAGTCATTGGGCTAGGACTTAGATGTCTGACACCCCTATATGCTCTCAAACTGCATGGTCCTAAGACCCCCTCAAATAAATCATTAGGTCTCTCTTCATACACTTTGTCCGAGGGGAGCACTTAGTGGGGGGCTGTCTCCCAGGGAAGGCTTGGCACCCTCGTGAAGGATGCGCTCATGCGAAGAGGGGCCTCCTGGGAAGGAAGCCAGGCACCTCCCCGCCCCCGGCGTCCTGTGTAAACATTGGACAGAATGTTTAGCAGCTGTGGATCTACTGACCAAAAGGCAGGCGAACACCTTGCAAGTCAACAGTTCTACCTAGAATGGGCCAGGGGGTGAGGGGGGAACATTCGGTCCCGCCAATACAAGGAGAGAGGCCAGTGCCGCTGTGGGTTTGGCTACTCAGCCCTCGTCAGACGTAAACAAGAGGGAACCAAATCAGAGCAGAGGACAGGCCAGGAATCCTCGGTTCACATTTCCAGGGCAGCTGCCCTCCCCAGGGCTCCGCCCACAGGCCCGGAGTGGCGTGTGCCCGGCTGCACGTACACAGGAGCAAATGGCCCGAAGGGCCCTTACCATGAGTTTCCACTCCCCGTGTAACCACCTTTTTATAGAAGAAGCGAAACGGAAAAGCCCATCTTTTCATTCCTGAGCTGGCGTTTGGCATTGCCCGTGACTCAGCAGTCCGGTGCCAATCAGGGGAGGGGACCTGAGCCCCTGGGAGGACTGGGAAGCTTCCAAACTCCATCTGAACCGGTAAGGAAGATGGTTAGCAAGGAAGCAGTGTGATAATTAGGAAAGGGATGGTTGTACGGCAAAGAAAGGGTTTATGGTTTGCAAAACACTCATTGAGTCTTGTGTGAAGAAAGACAGCAAAGACTTAATCCCTGAATCTAGTTCCAACAAAATAGGCGATTTCAAAATCTACGATTACAGAATTTTTGGAACTGGGTGTAGTTTTTAAGTATATATGTTCTATACAAATGTATTGGGCTAGTTAAATAAAGCTCACTAACTTTACCTGAATAATGAACGGTTTTAATATTCCTTCTGGAAGATCTGAACAGTCCCCCCCTAGGCGTATTTCCACGCTCGTTTTGCTTAGTAAACTCTTGCTTCAGAGAACACGAAGGTCGACGGCCACCAAACCCTCCCTCTCGCTCCCGGCCGGGATCCCTGGATGGGCCCGCAGGGGCCGGGCCGGGGCGGACCTCCAGGCGGGCACGCAGCTGCGCGAGGAAGCGCCGCGGCCCGAGGGGCACCTAGACCCGCAGGCGCGGGGCACAGGCGGGGGCGCCTCAGCTCCGCACCGGCGGCGGGGCCGGCCCTCCTGCCGCTTTTCCGGAGCCGCCAGCCCATTCTGAGCTGTGCTTCGGGGTGACTGCCCCGTGCAGGTGGGACGGGAACTTGGAGAAGCCTGTCCACTCGCCTATACCGTCTTCTTAAACGCTGCCCCCTCGGACCTGCGGCTCTTCCCGTCTCCCCCGGCGAGTCCTCCCCGCCAGGGGGACGGCCCCGCCGCCCAGGGGCACAGCCCAAGCCCCGGCCGCTGCGCTGGCCAGCGCCGGTCTGAACCAACCGTGCGAACGGGAAGGCGGTCCTCGGGCAGCCGTGGCACCGCCGCTGGCCCTCCGCCGCGGAACCCAGACTTTTGGGGAGCCCAACCCGTGCGCAGACCCCCCACCATCCCACCGGAGAGCACCCCCGCGCGGGCGGGGCACCTGGGGCCGCTCCCCGTGCGGGAGCCCCAGCCCGGCGGGCCGGCCCCCGCCCCGGGCCCGGGGAGGCCTCCCGCCGCAGCCTCCCGCCCCCGGCGGCGGCTCACCCTGCAGGCTCTCCTCCTGCAGTCCGGGCGTCCCGCTCCCGCTCTGCGACATGGCGCCGGAGGCAGCGCGCTGCGGCCGGCGGGTGGGGCCGGGCCGGGCCGGGGCCGGGCCGGGCTCGGTTGGGTGTCAGGCGCTCAGAAGCGGGCGGCGGGAGCCGGAACGCGAACTCGGGGAAGCGAAGGCCAAGCGACGTCAGCCCAGGACCCCGACTGCCGGCCGCGCGCCGCCGACGCAGGGCAGATAAGCGGCGGAGAAGCGCCGGCGGCGCCCATTGGCCGAGGGGGAGGCGTGCGTGTGCGCGAGGGCGGGGCGCGCGCGGGGCGCGTGCGGCGCGTGCGGCGCGTGCGCGCGTTGGGTCTGGGGCTCGTCTGAGGTTGGGAGCGCGCTTGCGCGGTTGGGATGTTGGCAAGGAGACACGAGCGTGGTTGGGCGGGGTCTGATTCCGGGCTCTGTGCGCAGGTGCGGGGCGAGGGGCGGGGTCTCGTAGGGTGAGAGGCGGGCCCAGAGCGTGGGCGGGGCTACTCCGCTGGGGGCGGGGCGCCGTTCGCGGGACCCGGACCCACTGGGTCCCAGGGCAGGTGGAGCGGGTGGTGAGCATCCGTCCTACAGGTGGACCTTCGCGAAGTGCAAGTGCACAAGACAACAAGGACACTGAGGCCCGCAGGGCCATCGGTAATGTTGCCTGAGGGTTACTGTTCTCCCTGAAGCATCAGGCAATGAAGGAAAGGAGAAATCGAAGTGGACCAGGGTTTGCTGGTGGCCAGCTTGTGGAACCAAACCAGGCTAGGCCATCTGTAAAGACATGGCCACCAGCTCCGGGAGGCCAGCCCCTCACTGCAGTGACCAGCCAGGAGGCAGCCTGCTCTAAGTCAGACTTGCAGAAAGTGTGTGGACGACAGGGGCCACGGCTTGCCTGGTGGCTTTGCAAACTCAGAAACCTAAAGTAATCACAAAAGATGGCCTTAAATTAAAACTTTTTAGCCCTAACTGGTTTGGCTCAGTGGATAAAGCGTTGGCCTGTGGACTGAAGGGTCCCAGGTTCGGATTCTGGTCAAAGGGCATGTGCCTTGGTTGCGGGCACATCCCCAGTGGGAGGTGTGCAGGAGGCAGCTGATCAATGTTTCTCTCATCGATGTTTCTAACTATCTCTCTCCCTCTGTAAAAAATCAATAAAATACATTAAAAAAAAAAAACTCTTTTTAACTAAAAGCAGTTTATGGCAGGTCCTAGGCTAAAATCTTCCCTGACAAAAATTGATCTTGACCTTCACTGAGGCTGCCTATTGTCTTTGAGACGGCAGGGCGGGGTGGGGATGAGCTCCCGACTCCGCCCCGCAGGGCGGAGTTATCCCTAGCCCTCACTCAACCAATCAGGATTAGCCGAGGCAGTGACATCACCATCGACCTGAGTAAAACCCCTGGACTGGAAGAAGCTCGCTCTCTTCCGCCATGCCATGCTGCCGGCATGTGTGGGGGGGCCCATGCTAGCATGGTTAAGGCTCTTTTGTTTATTGCATCGGACTCGGCTCCCTGGTGGTCCTTGGGGATCACGAAGTCTGGGCGTAACATCTTTTGCATCTAACAAAGCAGATCTTTGGAATGGCAGGGTAACTCCCCTTTTCCCAGACCCCTCAGGGCATAAGGGAGAGACCATAAATCCTCTCATTGGTATGTTAATTGTAAAAGATTCTATGTCTATTTTGAGGGCCAGAAATATAATATTGGGGACTAGCTATTATTTATGTTAACCTTAAAAAAACACTGAGTCGAAACCAGTTTGGCTCAGTGGATAGTCAGCCTTCGGACTGAAAGGTCCCAGATTCCATTCCGGGCACAAGGGCATGTACCTTGGTTGTGGATGTCGATGTTTCTAGATCTCTGTCCTGCTCTCTTCCTCTCTGTAAAAAAAAACAATAAAATATATATTTTTTAAAAAAACACTGAAACCTATAAAGTATTTTTGTAAGTTTATTTGCGTCAAACTGTCGACTTTTGCCGGGAAGCAAACCCTCAATGAATTGAGATAATGCTCTAGAGAATGGCGGGTTACATCTGTATTTGTCCATTGCAATAATGGTTTATATGAAATGCATTGGTGATAGACTAGAGAGGAAGGAGAAAGCAAAATGGGGAAATCCCTGGGGCTGGATAAAAAGTAAAATGAGGGACACATACTTAGGTGGGTGCAGGAACAATTAACATGATAATGAAGGAATTTGTGGTATCTGTCCAGCCTCCCAGTGTCCTTGTAGTCCAGTGCACGAGCACTTCCCGTAGGTTGTGCCCCAAGGGGTCCAGAAAAAGGAAACTTACAAGTTACCCAGAAGTCTCAAAGGGTGTGTTATCACAGATGCAAAAACACAAATAGGCTCAGTTAAGATAAAGGTTGACCTTGTCAGTGAAGATACCGGCTTAGGATATAACTACCCACCATAACTGCTTTTTGTTAAAGTTTCATTTCAGACCATCTTTGCAAGAAAGCCATGCAGGCCTCCCCTGAGCTTGTCACGTTAGCATGTGGCCCCTTTCGTCCACAATTATAAGAAATAAAATAAGAGATATTATTCATGCTCTGTTAACCATTACTGTTTTGTTCTGATTAAAGAAAGCACATTCTAACCTGGCTGGGACATTGGAGTGAATTCCATCCTCCTGTCCCGAAAGCTGCCGGTCATTAGGGAAAGATTTACAACCTCTTGGCAGAAACAAGTTAATCCTGGAGGCACCTGCTCTATACAACCCCCCGCCCCTACTGCCTGCAATCTGGTCCCCAAGGCACCCCCCTCTGCCACCTCCACCGCTACCCCCGCCCGCATAATTTGTAATCAGTAATTATTATACCTTGGCTGCTTTCCCATGCCTGGAATTCCTACTTTCCCAAGTAATCTTTGTCCTTGTACCTGCTGCTCTCCCACACTGCCGGCATTATTGGAATAAATGTTCATCTGTGACTCAACCCCGTCTCTGCTTAATTGGCTCAAGTAGTGGCAGGCATCCCGGACCCCCTTGCTTGTCTGGTTGCACTACCATTTTACTGCTAAGTGTCCTGCACCCACTGATGTAAAAGACGGATGTGTCTAACATCTTACCATTCTCAGAGATTGCCCACCTGCCTTGCTTTCTCCCATCTCCTTCATCTATCCCAGTGGATTTCATGTCACCTGCTTATGTCTTTTCCCTTCATTGGCGATGTACAAAACTGCCATTCTCTGGACTTCTATGCCAATTCGTTCATTTTGCTTCCCTGCAGCTGTTGACAATTTGGCTCAAATAAACTCACCAGCCGGGACCGGTTTGGCTCAATGGATAGAGCGTCGGCTTGGGGACTGAAGGGTCCCAGGTTCGATTCCGGTCAAGGGCATGTACCTTGGTTGCGGGCATATCCCCGGTGGGGGTGTGCAAGAGGCAGCTGATCGATGATTCTCTCTCATTGATGTTTCTAACTCTCTGTTTCTCTCCCTTCCTCTCTGTATAAAATCAATAAAATATATTAAAAAAATAAATAAATAAAAAATAAACTCACCAAAACTCTCTTAGGTGTGCGAGTTTCTTATATTGACACGTGTCTCCCAGCAACTGGAAGGCCCACAACCCCTGTAACCAGCAGCCCCAATGGACTTCCCCATTTCTGTCTCAGCTGCCAGCCCAGGACCCACCAGAAGCTCCAGACCCACCAGAGAAAGCCAGAATGCTCCCTGATCCATCGGGGTTCCCTGCTCCAGGCTCTGTGGGGCCCCAGCCCCATCGGGGTGCACTGGAGCCCCGCTTTCTGCCTGCTTTTGGTGCTCTGCTGGACCCAGCCACAGTTGGACCCCCGCTACTGCAGCTCTGATGACGCAGCCTCTGCTGTCCTCATCTCAAGTCTTCCTTTTGTTAACATAAGAAACGTTCAAACCTGAAAAGAGTTTTTGTGAGTTTACTTGAGCCAAACTGTTGACAATTGCTGGGAAGCAGAATTTCAACGCGTGGAGACATTGCTCAGAAGCATGGCGGCTTTCACTTAGTTTTACAAATTCCTATCAGAAGGTTACATGAAATCCACTGGTGATAGATCTGGGAGGTGGGAGAAAGCAGAGCCAGGAAACCTCTGGGATTAGATAAAAAGTGAAGTGATAGCTGAAACTGGTTTGGCTCAGTGGATAGAGCAGCCTGCAGACTGAAAGGTCCCAGGTTCAATTCCGGTCAAGGGCATGTACCTTGGTTGTGGGCACATCCCCAGTAGGGGATGTGCAAGAGGCAGCTGATCAATGATTCTCTCTCATCGATGTTTCTAACTCTCTATCCCTCTCTCTTCCTCTCTGTAAAAAATCAATAAAATATATATTTTTTTAAAAAAGTGAAACAATGGACACATGCTTCTTTTACATATCACAACTCAAAACACTAACAATAACAAGGAGGGAGCTAGTGGTTTTACCCTGAGGGGGTCCAGAAAAAAGGCAAGTTACAAGTTTCCTTGACAAACCACAGATATGCTATCTTAGATAAAAAGACGGTAGCCTCGATATCTTTCCTGAGTTGATCTCTGCCGGGAAAGATACTGTCCTAGAATGTGACTGCCCACCATACCCTGCTTTGTAATGAAAGGTTTTCACTGCAGATCATCCTTCGTGGTTACTTGAGGTCTCTGGAGTTGGCAAGGCTGCCAGACATGTGGCCGGCCATTTCCAGTCTTGATGAGGCTGCCCTGAGAGGGGTTCTCAGCTCTCTTTCTGGAGCTGGAGGCGCTGGCCTTCCTTCCGGGCCCTCCATTTTCATCCTCATTGACCCAATGAGACGCCACCCTTGTCGTAGCAGTGTCGGGGTGGCACAGAGGAAAACACAGGAAGCAGCTGCCCCACAGACACGGTGGCACTCACAGAAAGTGTCCACAGACACGGGTGGCACTCACAGAAAGTGTCCACAGACACGGGTGGCACTCACAGAAAGTGTCCACAGACACGGGTGGCACTCACAGAAAGTGTCCACAGACACGGGTGGCACTCACAGAAAGTGTCCACAGACACGGGTGGCACTCACAGAAAGTGTCCACAGTCATGGGTGGCACTCACA